TCATGATGAAGCACGGCGGTGGCAGCATCATGACCTGGGCAGCTGTGACTCAGGTAGTAGATTGGGTTGTCCAATGAGTACAAGGTTGGTGGTTCGATTCCCCCTGTCGAAGTGTCCTTGGGCCAGACTCTGAACCTGAAGTTGCTCCCAATGGCAGACAGCACCTTGCATATGAATGCATTGGTGTATGAATGTGTGTATGAAAAAAACATAAAGCATTCTGAGTAGCATGAAGGTAGAAAGGCGCTATAGAAGTTCAGACCATAACTTCAGACCATTGATGATCTGAAGGGGTTCAATCAGTCCTTGAATGTGAAATGCCACCTTTTCATTTCGTGACAAAATACGCCAGTTTGGATGCACAGACCTACTGGTAAGGGATTAATATTGTTCTGTCTGAAGCATGGTGGTGGCAGCATCATGGTTTGGGGATTCTTTTTGGCAGCCCTGGAAGAGGTAGAGGTTAATGAATGCATCAAAGTGTAGAGAAATCCTGGAGGAGTCTGCAGGAGAAGTTTTGCAGAGAACAGTGAGGTGAAGCTGCAGATGTTCAGGCTGATTGATACCAACGGAGCTGCAGCTAAAGATGCATCTAATAAATAGTGACTGGAAGGAGGTGAAGACGAATGCAGTCACTTGCTCTGCGTTTAGGTGAATGACATCACTTTGTAGAAATCTGTTTTCAGTTTAACATGAAATTGTTAAATTCTTGCAAAGAAAATTAAATTGATTCTGATTCACAGTTTGAAAGCAATAAAAAAGAAATACTTCCAAGGGTACTAAATACTTTTCACGAGTACTGTAAGTGCAAACGTGCTCTGCTGAAGGCTTTTGGATGTTTAAGTTAATAATTTATGTCAGGTTTGTGCTATTTATTGGAGTGTTTTGTTGCTGCTCTGCTTCATCATCCTGTCCTTTGAAGCAACATCCGTCCGTTTTTGATAAGACAAAAGCTTGTTCGCTGTTTAATAAATGACATGACGACGCCTCAGCTTTGCTGTCTTCTTTGTGTAATATTAATGTTTCTTAAGCTGCTTCTTTTCTCAAACGTTTCGGCGCAGTAGATGTGTGTGAAACTGTACAGATGTGTAGGTGGTTGCACAGTTACTGTATAGGAAGTGTGTGTGGTTGATGTGAATGCGCACAATTTGTCGTCTTTTTTTTTTCTTTCACTGCTCACCTTCACCTACAGTTTGTGGCTGAGTGACTCTGCACAAACGGCGTGTGCTCCATTTTCCTGTCACCTCGCCTTCCACTTTAGTTTTGTTAGTTTTATATTAAGAAGGTGGCTCTTAGAGTTCCACCTTGTTTGACAGCTAAATGTTAATTTGTCAGGATTAAAATAAGAAACGGTTCTTAAATGTGAGGATGTTTGCACTTTTTCTTTCTTTTCTTTATCTGATCAGGGACGGTGCATGTTCACATAGATCACTTGTGATGTGTTGCATATGGAGTGTTAAGCATGAAGCTGATCTGGCTTTTCAGGCTTTTTCTCTTTTTAAACTTTACTTATAATCCAAAATAAGTCGAGCATCACTTTAACTCTGGTAAGTTGTAAACACACACATCAGTTTAGCTACAGGAACAAAACACTGAGTCATTAAAAGATTTATCCAAAGTAAAGGTCCATTATGTGTTTATTTGCCTGCACGCTGCAGCCGCGTGCGTTCAATGTGAGCGTCCGTGACTCAGTGTGTGCGCGTGCGGTTTGCAGGTGAGTGACAGTTTATGTGACTAAGCGGGACTGCGCCTGAGGCTAACCTGCGTCTGGTTAACGCGCCCTCACGCTCGCACTCGCGCGTCTGGCCGACTGCTAACCTCAGACGGTGTCAGCGCTGCACCGACGGGCCGCAGATAAACACCGCCACGGGAAGTTTGTGCGATGTCACCGTGTGTGGGAAGGAGGCCGAGCTCACCTGATGTGAGCACAAATACAGGTTCACTGCAGGCCGGAGTGGAAAATCACCGTCCTGTCATTAAGTTTAATGAAAAAGCCTGGCGACACCGGAGCAGCTCGGCGGTGTGTGGTCGACACGTTTCCCGCGTAAAAGCTGCGTTTGACACTTTTTGAGGTCCACGAGCGCCGAGCTGCAGACACCTGTAGGCTGCTTCTCCACCCGGCCGATCTGCTGCTATTATTGTTGTCAGGAAACAGATGTGAGTTCACACACTGGAAAGAAAGTCTGTTTGTGACTGTGGTCGTATGCGTCTGCACGGTATGGCTGTGTGTGTGTGTGTGTGTGTGTGTGTGTGTGTGTGTGTGTGCGCGCGTGCGTGCAGAGTGTGGGCGGGTGGGTTTCGGAAAATATGACTTGGCGTTTCTTACACCCGGTTTCTGCCCCTGACTACGGGTGAAACGCACACGTCTGGCCGTACTGTACTGTACTGCTTGCAGCGCACGAGAGGGGCCGGCCGTGCGTGTGAGCGTTCACGTGTGACTGTGAGATGACCTTGGTCAGCTGCGGTCGGAGCCAGAGCGCTGGGTGGGAAGTGGTTACATATAGTTTGGCGTCCGATCAGCCTCTTGAAGTCGAGAAAAGACACATGCACACGAGATCAAATGTGCAGAGACATTAGTCTGAGTGCAGCGTCAGAGTAATGCAATACGATGTGAGGTCGCGGCGCGCACGCACGCACACACACGCGTGGATCACGCCGAATTCTGGGGCACCGCACAATCACAGGATAAATTAGATAAATTAGTTCCAGATGAGGTATAACATATAGACTGTGTTAATGACATGCTCATACAGATGGCTAACACACACACGCACACATGCACACACACACATGCACACACACACACACACACACATGCACACACACACAGATGAGCTCCAAAAACAGCCACCCTGGGAAACGGTGAATTCCCCAAACCACAGAGTGCATGAGAGGGTGAGGGGAGTCATGGGAAAGCAGGATGCCTTCATGCAGTGCCACCGAGCGAGCAGAGCTAAAACAGACAGCGCAGAGGAAAGACGAGGGCAAAATAATACACATCCTGATCTGGCGGCGGTGGATGACAGCGTCTGACGCTTCAAAGGCCTCTGAGTGAGATTTATCCACACAGTGCGGTCGGTCAGCTGGCCGGCCGGACCGGCAGACGCGTAGGGCGAGGGAGGTCGATTACAGCCCTGCTCCCAGCCTGACACAGTTTGGGAAAACCCAGATCAGAGGACAAAGTAAGTGTCAGGGCCTCCGAGTCTGGAAACGCCTGCAGCTCCACCAGATCTGGGGCCTCCGAGGAGGTTCTAGGTGGAGCCGGAGGGGATCAAGGTGTGAAGGTATCTGGAAGCTCTTACTTCAACGACGTGGGAGCGCGTGGAGGCCGGTGACTGGGTGTCTGGAAAATTCTGCTGCGTTTACTGACGTCTGTGAAAAACTCCAAAGGTTACAAACCACGTCAAACACTCCTCTCATGTGTGGTCACTCTGATTATTTTCTAAAATCTGCGTTGTGTAATCGGCCACACCAGTAAAATTCCTGCGCTGCCTCCTACCAAAACAATGGTTTGGCTTTAATTACGATGTGGACTAATGTAAAGTAAATTTAAACGCAGAAAAACCATTTAGAAAGCAAACATTTGGATTCAAGGACAGTAAAATGTCCCCCTCAGGCTGTGATCAACCTGTTTACAGAACACACTCATTCAGACTCACATCTACTCATATATACTTAGGTGACAAATATAATTACACACACAAAAAACGAGGGTATATATATATACATGTATATACAGGAAAAGAGCAGGTGAGGAGTCCGTTTATAGCTCTATTTGTTCTGCAGCATCGTTTCTGCATCACGCCGCCCAAAAGTCACTTTGAAAAATCTTCTGTCCAACCAGAAGCTGCATCTGTTGCGCGCAGGATGTTTATGTTTAGACGTATAGGTTCTCAGTTCCCTCCTTTAACCCCCCAACACACACACACACACACACACACACACACCTACACACACACTTTCACACACACACACTTTCACTCTGCCTCATTCACCTCCATTTATTAAACCCACGCTCGGCGAGTGACAAAGCGCCTCTTTTGAAATGATCGCAAAGCTCGACAGGTGAGCAAAAATTCAACTCCATTTGTGTCTCTGCTAATGTTTCTGCAAACTATCGCACAGCAAAAAAACCAAAGTATTATTAATTTTGCAACACCCGATACTAATATAAGAAAGCGGTGTGATGATTACATGCTGTAGTGCTGAGCTGTATCTGGGTTTCACTATTAATGACTGATGAACTGGTTTCACTAAAAGTTGTGAAAGTGAGAGTTTGTTAGTGAATGTTCACTGTCTCCTCACTGTCCACCGCTCACCGCTGGTTAACCACAAGTTTTACATGCATTTCTTCTGCTAACTTACTGGATTCACATCTGAATTAATGAATGAGTCATGTGAGCTAGTTCCTCGGTCGAGTTGTTCTTTGGGTTTTGACTGTTTGTGCTGATTGCTGCTGAGATTATCTGACTCCGGAGATGCTGCCGTTGTAGCACGCCACGTTGTTTGAAGTTAATCTGGTCGCCTTCTCTACATCTGTCCCAGCGTGCTTTTGCCCAGGAAAAAGTTCATCTACCATTACAAGAACCTGCGCTGGGCGAGGGGCCGCTGCGAGACGTACCTCTGCTTTGTGATAAAACGACGAGTCGGTCCGGAGTCGCTGTCCTTCGACTTCGGACATCTACGCAACCGCAATGGCTGCCACGTAGAGGTGAGTCCGACGGGAGACGATGTTGATGATGTGAGATGATTTTACCGTCCAAAAGTTTTCAAACTCCTTGAAGTTGTTGCAGATTTTTGAGAAAATGCAGCTTCTGTCCCGTTCCGCCATGTTCTATCATGTTCTGATCCACTGTAAAGGTAGAACAGCTGATGCAGTAGATCTCTAGTCAGCTCCAAGTCGTGGCTGAAAGCAAAGAGCTCATATATAAGCCGATAAAGTCACATCAAGAGTTTTCCAGGTGCAGCGTTCACAGATGAAGCTTCATGAAGAAGTCCAAGGAGTTCCTCACTGAGGAACATGTCAAAGGGCTGCAGGAGGACAGACGTGAGCCCTGCACTGGAACAATGGTGGAGGCCCAGAAGAACCCAAGGACCAGCACCAAGAGCATCCTGATGGATGTGAGCAGTTCTGCTAGCAACATGTCCATCAGACACTCCAGCAGACCAACAACAAGGCTGGTCTCCATGGAGACAAGGAGAATCCACTTCTCCAGGACTGAGAAGAAAGCTGCTGCTCATCATTTCATGAACACAGAGAAAGGAGAAGCATCCAAGGCCAAGAGCAGCATCCCCACGGTCCAACGTGGTGGTGGAACGTGATGCTTTGGGGCTGCTGTTGAGCCGACGGACCAGACAGCCTGGTCAGAGGAACCGGCTTCATGAGAACAGAGGAGAACATCAGGAGGTCTGCAGGAACACTGCTCCTTGGGCAGCAGTGGAGCTTCAACAAGACGATGATGTGAAACATGCAGCCACAGTGGTGAAGAAACGCTGAAGAGGAAACAATGAGGAGATGTTGGAGCGGCCCAGCCAGAGTCCAGACCTGAATCCATCCAGAACCTGTGGAGGAACCCAAGAGCAGAGTGATGGAGAGGAAGCCTTCAAGCTCCAGGAGCTGCAGATGGACACTTGGAGGAACCAAATCCCAGAAACACTGTTGGACACTAGAACAGCTGATGTGGAGCAAAATAAAGCCTCTGATGAGTGAAGAAGAGGACGAAGACGTTTGGATGGAAACATCATGAACATCTAACCTCATGCTTTGCTGTGTTTTGTTTCTTGTTCGTGTCGTTCACAGTCAGAAGGAACATTTTAGTCAAATAAAAAACCCTAAAAATGTCTATTTATTGGAGCTGTGAATAATGTTGGGCTTGACTGCATGAACATCCACTGACCTTCTGTGCAGCTGCTGTTCCTGCGCTACCTGGGAGCCTTGTGTCCTGGCCTCTGGGGTTATGGGGTCACTGGACAGAACCGAATCAGCTACTCCATCACCTGGTTCTGCTCCTGGTCTCCTTGCGCCAACTGCTCCCTCAGACTGGCCCAGTTCCTGAACCAGACGCCGAACCTTCGCCTCCGGATCTTCGTCTCTCGCCTTTACTTCTGCGACATGGAGGACAGCCGCGAGAGAGAAGGTCTGCGGATCCTGAAAAAAGCCGGCGTGCACATCACGGTCATGAGCTACAAAGGTGGGTCCATAAACCTGTAGAGCTACGCTAAGCTCCACGTGTCCTGGTGCTTTCATGATAAGTCAACACTGCTTTCCCTTCAGACTACTTCTACTGCTGGCAGACCTTTGTGGCTCGGAGCCAAAGCAAATTCAAGCCTTGGGACGGGCTAAACCAGAACTCTGTCCGGCTGGCCAGAAAACTCAACCGCATCCTGCAGGTAAGACGTTTAACGCACAACACGTGTTCCTTTGAGCGAGCCGGTCCAATAACACGCTCTTCTTTTTGTTTCTTCAGCCCTGTGACACAGAAGATCTAAGAGATGCCTTCAAGCTTCTTGGACTGTGAACAAACCCGTGGCCTCCTCCGAGTCCAGAGAGTCAACGACGTGTTGGTGTCGATCCGTCACTACAACTGCTGAACTGAGAATCTGAAAAATCTGAGAAAAAAAAAAAAAGGCTTTCAAGCTGTCGCAAGGCTCGTGAAGTAGCAGCCGCTTGCTTTGTCTGTAGCATCAAGTGTGAAATAAAATGATGTACAATGAGGTTTGTGTTGTTGTGTTCTGTCTCTGAACCTTTGGATGTGTTCCGGTAGAGCCTCTTTTTTCAGAGTACGTATAGTTTTGAGTGTCTCTGAAAAACTGCTG